ATATATATATACACTTTCAAAATAGTGCATATGCATCATCATTAGTTTATAAGCATATACAAGTATTCTTTCATAATTCTTCGTCATTTTTAAAGGCTTTAAATCGATTTATTTCTGCATCTTTATTATATAAATATTCAGTAATTATCCTTCAAATTATTTTTATGATGATTTAATCATTTAAACTTATCATTTATACCAATATGAGGTTTTAAATATTTTCAGTATATTTTTTATAATTACATTTGTATTTTTAAGGCTAAATTACATATTTTGCAATAATAGCCCATATGCATATATAATTACATTATTTATGCAAAAGATAACCTTTTATATTTTTATAATGTTAAGTTATTATTTTTAATCTTTTAGTATACAAATAATATTTTTATTATTTGTTAATTACTTTTATAAATTATTTTTGCTAAAATGTTGGTTATTTAAAAACTAGCCTCACACTAGACCTATTTTCGGACCAAACAATGGCCCAAACTACCTAATACACTGGCCCAAATACCCCAGCCCAAACCAAATTAACCCAACCCCCTAAACCCAGTCGCGACCCGTTTAACCACCTGACCCAAGACCCATTTTAAATCGTGGCCGTTGATCTCTGAGATCAACGGCCCACATTACACCCTCCCTTTTAATTACCACCCTAATCACTTCCTGCCGTCCGCCGCCCTCAAATCCCACCTCCCTTCTCCCTCCTAAGAACCCTAGCGCCGCCTCCCCTAAAATCTCTCTTAATCCCATCAGACATGGCATTATACGGCCATTTCTTGACATATACGACTCTTCCCTGGTACTAGATCCTTCTCTATACTGCTTGCCTAAACATGGCAAGCGGATCTCATCAGAATCGAACCAAAGTCGGTTCAACTTCTTGACCTTTCTGCTATTCCGTCTATGTTCATTCTTGTTCTATTATGGGTATGTATAGGGTCTTCTTGACCCTACCCCTACCCCCTTTGCTTGCTTTATTACAATTCTTTCATATTGCGCGAACTAACTTCTTACTTGTTTTTCTTTCTTTTTATATCTTTACATTTCATTTAATACTGCATTTACTGTCTTCATCATGCAAAATACTTGACAACGTGTTATTTTAACTTTATATAAAGCATGATCCACATCATATTCTACTCGTGCGTAACTAATATCATAGCGGCACTTGATGAGTGTCCGCGCTATTCCTAAATCACCCTTTAAATTTAAAAAGGCTTATTTGTGGTAAAACTAGTCGATCAGCGGTGCAATCGTCGATTCCGTGCCTTCCCCTCTCAAGTTGTCCACTTGAGGGTACTGTTCTAGACTCTTCTAGAAACCCCCACTCTAATATTAACTGTGCATGCATCATGTCTAAACCTAGTATGGGCTAGAACGTTGTCCGCGTAATAACTCTCTAAGGCAAGCCTTGTCCAAAGCCCGCCGGGATTTCCTTAAATCCCAATGGGTACAATCATTATATGTGCGTTATTTGGAGAAAACGTGCCAATATGCTAATCATTAATATGTAAATAGTCGAATCCGGAGGGGAAAAGGGCTAACTTTATTTGTTTTGCAGAAATGAGGCACGAAGTCCCCAGGTTCGAAATGGTTCGAAGTATCCCACCTTTATTTCTAGGTTGGTGGGAAAATCTCTCGCCAAGTGACAAAAACCATGTGAAAAGAGTTCTCGGGAATTTACCTTCTTTATTAGATATCCAGCAGAACAATGTGTTAATTGAGGCTGCCACCATGTTCTGGGATGAGAAGAGGGTCGTCTTCCGTTTTGGTAATATAGAAATGACTCCCCTTCTAGAGGAAATATGAGGCTTCGCTGGGCTCCCATGGGATAGCCCTGGCTTGTTGGTACCGAAAAATCGTACTTCTCGAGGTTTCCTAAAAATGATGGGTTTCAGGAAATATGATGAGTTAATTTTCTGAATAAATCTTACATACCATTCGACTTCTTTTACGAGCATTATGGTCACAGCAAGTCATATAGTCTTTACCGTGATGAATTTGCCATCTCTTCTTTGGGTTGGACTCACCGCCGAGTTTTTGTATTCATTGCCTGTTTTCTGGGGATGCTGATATTCCTGATACAAGGAGAAAGGATCCACACTTGCCTAGCTATGGTCACTAAGACCCTAATGGAAGGAATTAAGGGGCAAACTTACACGATTGTCCTAATGATCGTGGCTGAGATATACCGAGCCTTAAACCGTTGCAAAAAGGGATATAGGCATTTGGAGGGTTGCAATCTGTTGCTGCAAATATGGTTGTTGGAACACCTTCAGAGAGGACAATACCATCAAGAATTTCCGCGACGACCATGGAATGACCACATAGCTTAGCACCATCCGAAGAGAATGACTTTTATTCCAAACAGATTTGCACAACCGGGAAATGCTGTGAGCTGGGTACATTTCTTTAGCAATTTGACTAATGACAAGGTACATTGGATGTTCGAGTGGTTCCCTAGCAGTGAATTCATCATCAGGACGAGAGATGTTCCTCATTTAGTGTTAATCGGATTAAGGGGAATCTATCCTTATGCTCCTATCAGATTCATGAGGCAAGCTGGGAGAAAACAGGTTATACCATGAGTTTCCTAAATGGTTCATTACAAAGCAGACTTCCAAGGAAATGTCATTCTATTCAAGTTCGAGGCTTAGCACATGTGGCATCAAAAGATTATTGTGGAGAAAGATACCATCAAGCCAGACAGGTATCATGCCGGCCACGTGTACTTCTACCCATCATGGTTGTTCGATAACATAGCAGGAGAGGTCAAGCCAGGGGTTGATTTGAGAAATAGGGTCATAGACGACGCTGCTGAAGCACAAGTCAAATACAGGAGGTTGCGCAAAAGGGTCTTTGAATCTGAGGTCAGGCATTTGGAACAGCATAAAGTGGATATGGAAGCAATAAATGAATGGAGGGGAATCGCTACTAAATCAACATAAAGGTTGGAGTATTTGGAGCAGGGTTTGATGGAACTTGAGGGAAAATTGAGGAAAAGGGTCTCGGATTGTCAGAATGCAGAGGGCAATGAAGGAGGACATCTAGCAAGGGCGTATCTGCTGTTGGACATACGCGACCTGGGGAATCTGATTGACGGGGCTAAGAAGGCTAAGCTTTGAGAAGGTCCCTCTGGGACCGAGTAGATTAGGAATGATATTTTCTAGATTCGTTTTAGAATTTGATTGTAATAAGGCAAATGCCACTAGTGACTCTCTATAATTATTGTCGTTTTAGCAGAGATTTGGTCTATTTGTCATATTAATGAAATGACGCAGTTATCGACATTGAGTTTTCTCCAAAGCTATATGTCGCTAGGCCTAACTTGGGCACGATGAGGTTCCCAAATTAGGACACGAATTTATAATTCTGCAATACATGTTTAAATATCGTAAATATTCTTTTAATACTCCTTACTGACTTGTTTACCTTTTGTTTTTCTTCTTTTCTTTGTTTATTCCCATCCCCTAAGGTTGGTTTGTGCATACTTGCATCATAGGCATATCATACCAGATCTAGAGGTCCTCCTCCTCCTCCTCCTCCAAGTGATCCTAAGAACAAAGGAAAGACTAAGATGGATGATCTAAACGGTATAAGGAAAGACAATGCTACACATGCAAACCTTTCCCTCACCTTGAATGTCCCCTACATCAACCAACAAAACGCCCAAGACCCAACACCTCCTCAAAACACAAAACCAGCACCTCCAAAATCCTCCTGCACCTCATCAATACGCCACGCCTCCCCAAAATCCTAATCCTCCACCAGTACCAACTCCTCCATAGCAGCAACATCATCCAACCCAGTACCCACAAACTACTACCTACCACACTCCTCAGAATGCACCACAACCTACTCCTGACCCGCAAAACTCAACAAATGACCACCATTATGCCCAGATTCCCTGAGTCCACCAAAGAAATCCCATATACGTGGAAACCTTACCCCACACCCCACATCAAGAACATGGCAGAGGAACTCAAGAAACTTACCGGCAAGGTTCAAAGTGTCGAAGGGGGCAAAGGCACCAAGGGTTTGAATTATGATAATTTGTGTATTCGGTCAGATGTAGAACTGCCAGAGGGTTACAAACCTCCTAAGTTCGAAATGTTCGACGGAACTGGTGATCCGAAGGTGCACTTGAGAACATATTGTTACAAACTTGTAGGAGTTGGCACGGATGAAAGAATCCACATGAAGTTTTTCATGAGAAGCCTTACTGGAGATGCCCTGTCTTGGTACATCAGTCAGAACCCAAAGAAATGGGTTTATTGGGTGAGCATGGCGTCAGATTTCATGGATCGGTTCAGTTTTAACACAGAAAGCACACCAGACGTTTTCTACATTCAAAATCTCAAGAAGAATCCAACGGAAACTTTTCGCCGAGTATGCTACTCA